TCCATGCTACCCAGAATGAGCAGAACTTGATTAGTCTAATTGTACATTGCACTTCTTACTGCTTGAAAAATTTGTAAGATCGAACTGTCAGATCCAGTCCTTTTGGCTAATAGCAATTAATAATGTAATAGCAACATTAATGATGACATTTTATCCCAACATCTGGTGCCAAAGTGCTACTTTTTGGGGGGCTAATGAGCCATATTTCACTGTGGTTTCCTGTAGCATGTCAAATTAGTAGGGAGAAGTTCTCAGCAACTTTTCTCAGTGTCAAATGCTATAAAACACAGAAAATGCCGCAAAATAATTTAAAATAGCTGCTTTTCATTTAGTTGATAGCTAGGCAGCCAACTGAGATAAGAGTCAGGCTTTGTATTGCTTAGTATCATCCCTTGCAATGAAGGCAGGGGCACCACATTTATTGTGAAATTTCAGCTCACGAGGTCTATGTTTCTTGGTAAGCAGGAACTTGGTAGAGTCGTCTCACTTGTATATAGTATAGACAATTGTCATGTTATACATGTGGCATAATGTTAATGCACACAGATAGTGATGTGGAACTGTGGCATGAAATGCATTATTAGACAGCGACGTACCTTTTTTTTTTAAGTCCCTGTCTGAAATGCATGACTAGGTATGGCATTAACAACATTGCCCTTTTTTGGGCGTCCCCTACATACAATGAAAACATGTGATATTTGTTTTGCAGCATTCCTTTAAGTACCATGAGTAGACCTTTTTAGGGGGAACTGATTTTTCAGCCACATCAAGAATACCACTTATTTGCAAGCTGAATTAAGGCTAAGAGTAGCGACTAGTGACTTGTCTTATTAATATGGGTCACAATCTATAATGCTTAGCATGCTAGAGAAGTGATGCTTTATACTGGTCAATAGCTACATTTCAGTGCCAAAAAGACAAAGGAAAAAATTTTCGTGCTTTCGATAATTAAAAGTCTTGTCATATTGCATTCAACTTTGTTGATGTTTTTATTCCTTTTTTTTTCTAGCTCAGGAAAAAAGAGTTAAGGAGCATATCCAAAATTGTGAAAAGATCTGTCATCAGATTGACTTATCAAAACAATCACAACTCAACTTCAGTACAAAAGCAAAGGGTGGTCTATCTCATGTGAATCTGTACATGATGACCTAAAGGTCAATTCTGGCAATTTCCTGAGGTCATTGGACATGAATGAAATTATCTATGTGTGTTCCCCTGCCCACTCTTCACCTTTATAAAGAATGACAGGCTTGAAAGATGTACAGATTTATCTCGGATAAATTTTATTGACTTCCTCGAACGCTTGCTTCGCTTTCCACAACTATTGAACACATTGTGTGCGACATGATATATACACAAACAGTGAAGACAGCTGGCAGCATCAAGAAGTAAGATTTTCATCACCTGTGCTACCAAAATGGCAGCAGGCAGCACAAGAAAATGAAAAAGATGGATTGGCGACTACTGACCAGCCCAGGCAAGCCGCGATAGCCAGTGAGGCCCTGGAAGCGAAGCTCCACTCAGAGTGACCAAACAGCTTTGTTTAATTACTTGTTTTCTGTGCCATACTAAGCAGTTTAAATATAACAGCGTTGTAGCACCTGCTAGCGTTTTACTCTCACAGTTTTTGTTTTCTGCACTGGCCATACAGTTATACTATGTATGCCCGCTCAACTTTTACATTAAAATATGTAGCTGAAAAAGATGCTTATCTTTTCTTTATTCTCACTTGTAGCTCTAGGAAACAAGCACTGAGCCTGTGGCGCCGCAGTGCATAAGTGAATGAAAGGAACTGGCATGCTTTGTGCAGCAGCTGACCCATCAGTAGAGCCATGTTGGGTTGTTTTGCAGTGTCGCGTATGAATTGCTGAGTCATAAACTGTGCCATAACTATAAAAACTATGCACCTGGAACAAAGTTTTTCAGTTTTCTGCTTCAAAAATATACTGAAATTTGATTAGTGTATGCCGCATATAGCAAGTGATCATGCGGGCACTTTTATCAAGTTCATGCTGTAGCTTTTTTGTGTGAATTTAAACTCTACGCAAGTTAACTGATATTTTTACGGTGCTGATGTAAATGTGTGGCAGCCAGCAAAGTGATCTTGAGTATGCAGTCGACATTTTATTGGTGGAAAACCATCAACAGATCCAGCAATGTTCCCTTGTGGGCTGCGGCTGTTTTTCTACTGTACCGCAGTTCGTAAACAGTAACACTAGGGAAAAATCTCCGCATGCCTGGCAAAATGTGTCGTGGACCGCCAGAATTTTATTCCCCTTGTATTTCCATTGCTATTAACAGCACTGTGCACACAAGCGACGCTGCACCAGACCATTTTATTGCATTTAATGACAGTTAAGATTTCATTTGCAAGGATGGCAGTGTGACAAAGTTACTCAAAGACTTGTGCAGCGGGAGCAACGCCTAGAAATCGAGCTGCACTACAGTGCAGAAAACTTCGTGGAACTTCCAGACATTACTAAATACAACACGTGCAGTTCGGAGATAGTACGTTTTACTTGTGCCCATTGCAAGGGGTTGTCTAACACGGGTCAGGGAAACGCCGTCAAGGCAAAATGACAAGAAAGAATCCATACAAACATCGATGTTGACAGCCTATGCTTTGTGGATTTACACTGGCCAGCCGATTGCCCTTTCAGAATACACTGCCACACATTCTGTGCTTTCTATCACATTGAAAAGCATGACTGATTCCATATAATTTGTCCTTTCTTTTCGTTTGAGGCACTAAAAGGAACCTGCACTTGTTGACTTTCTGAAGGCCTACCCGTTTATCATATATGTGGTCTTCGCACCCACACACTTGTGTAAAATGTGGGGATAGCAGATAAAGAGATGGCTATTTGTAGCACGCCAGTTGAAAACTGAAGTGGTGGCACGTGGCAGGTGTAGTGGTGCAGTAGACTGTTGTTCCACTTGTAGGTGCTGCACCTTTCCAGTAAGCTAAAATAGATAAAATAAAGGAGAAAGAAAAGAAATGTCAGCTATACTTTATGCTTGACAAAGCAATATCCTTTACAACTCCTCTGAAGATTCACTTCTCATATATTAGTAAAAGTCCTCTAAATGTTAACCAGCAGTAGAATTCAAGTAAAGGAAAATCTGCTAAATGGAACTGCTGCCTTTGATAAAATGGAACAACTGCCTTTGATATGATTGGTTTAGTACTTGTATTAGGCATCCCTATTCATCTTCAGTAAATGGGACTCCTGATAATGAAGTATATTTTTCCTGGTTTCTTTTGTTTTGTTTTAAAGACCATCTGACTGTGATTAATCTTCATTAATTTTTGACATAGTTTAACACAAAAGCTTATGCCAGAATATAGAAAGCAAGTACTGTACACTTGTTTTACTTTAATAAGTGTTTTGTTCAAGTTAGCTGAAACACATTGAAGGCTTAGATACGATTCAGTGTCTTGGCTGCAGCAGTATTCACATTTCTGAATATCGCCATCATGCATGAAAAAAAAGAAAAAGAAAGCAGCTCATCACATCACAAACTTCAATGAATTGGGGTCCCTTGTAAAGGCTGTTCTACTCAGGCATTTTCTGAAACATGACATTATACCTTGCAATAACCCACCCTGAACACTTCATGTTTGCCCTGTGGCTTTTGTTGTAAAAATCCTGTAATAAGATTCAACATGTGAGCATAAACATGCCAATTATTTCTTGATGCGGTACTTGCCCTTTGCAACAGCTTTTAGTCACCATTTCGATACTATGGGTAATAAGAAATCACACAAGTATGAATGCTCGGTAGGTAATTCTGGTTTTACAATGTTGGAGCTTCTTTTTCATAGTTGTAGATGTAGAAGTTTTTCTACAAAAGGAAACAACTGCATATCGCATATTCGCAGACCAGCGTTATCCTTATCGCTTTTCTTAATTACTGCTTTCGTGTCCATAACATGCTTCATAAACAAATATCAAGCCAGTATTGACCAACCAATGTCAGCTGATAATAACATAGAGCAGAGCTATTTGGTGAATATTCATTCTAATAGACAGCCCAGGCCCTCTTGTGGTGTCTTGACTTTTTTTGTGTGTCTGTAATTGGACACCCTGTCTTTTAGAATGAACAATCTCGGCTGTCTTTTGCTCTGTTTACTGTTTGCATGCTCTTACAGCACATTAAGGGCAAAAATAATAAAGAAAACTAGACATAATATGAGGTCTATTTGTAAAAACCGAGCTGTTACTTATCCCTGGTGTGCTCACAATTCTCCATCTTAATTTCTTAGCAAGTTACTATTTTTACAGTGAAAGCTGCTGTGATATCACAAAAAAAAATAAAAACCGTCTCCAGCGCCATTCTTGTTCGCCGACAGTGTTCGCAATCAATATCGCATGAAGTATGAAAAAAAAAAAAAAACGAAATGAGAAAAATAGTCTCACGTAAACGGGGCTCCAGGTCTTGTCTGTGGTAGCCCAGTGCTCTACCACAAAGCTACTCCTGTGCTCGAAATTTTGCTGCAGACTTGCCTTATGCACGCTTCTTGTCAGTTCAGGAATCGTGTTATAAGAGCATTTCAGAAGAGTAACAAAGCAACCTAGCATCAGGCAATGTGATTTTCTAAACAATGGGGTCTATTGAATGGTTCCAGGCCACTACAAAAGGCTCAGTCATAATTGCTTGTCGTCATTAGGTGCAGCATCAGCAAATAATGCACATAATGCCAATATAGCAAATTGCACATAATGTCTTACAGGTGCATAGTGAGCACCATGCTCCCCTGAAGAAAGACAAATACTAATGAAATAGTGCACGCTTCTCTACTTCACAAATGTTATGGTGATTTTGGTGTAGTGGGTATCATGCAAGTGTACCTGTAGTAGTGTCTACAAGAGTGTTCAGAAAAGGCTCTAGAAAGGCCACTCTTCCAGCTTTTGCTGTGACTGTGCTGTGCGTTTTGCACAGGCCAGGTGTTTTTTTATTCTTAGAAGGTTTGTGAGTGTGCATTTGATTCATTGCAGATGTGACTGCAAGATTTGACCATGTATTTTGGTGTGGCGATCTGAATTTTCGACTCATGAATGATCGTTCGGTCGTCGGTTTACTGAAGGATGACCATGAAAATAAACAACTTGCATATGAGAACCTCCTGAAATTTGATCGGCCGAGAAGTGCTGTGCTGCATGGTTTGTATAATCGCATCTTCTGTATACCCCATCCTTTTTTTTTTGAAATTTTTAAAGAATGCCCTTTGATTAGGTTTGTGCATTTAAAATGAGACAAAGTGATGTGTAGATTGTGGGGGGGAGGGGGGCAATAGGGCTTGCAAAGCATAAAACCGACTGTAACATGGTGTGAAAGCGGCCAAAACTTGAAACAACGTAGTGGGCTTTTTCTCTCATAGAAGCTGTACACGGAGCACGAGTCAAAGACATGCACACAAATGCTTAACACACACTGCTTGTAGTATCACTTCTATGGCATGTGACATTGATTAATCATCTAATACACTGTCTCTAGATATTGCCATGAAGCAAAATAGGTAGAGAAGGTGAGAGGAGGGTGGAGCTAGTCATGTGAACATGGTGTGGCCCCTACACCACGTTCCACATGGGTGAAGAAACTCTGCTTGCAAAGAATGGCTGAGGCAGGGAGGGTAATTGCATTAGTGGTGAAGCTACCCTTCTGGTAAATAGTAACAAAGCAGTTAAATTGCTTTCAAGTTTTCTAATAAAGAACCTGTTAGAAAATGATTTGGTTTAAACATTCCCTAGACATTGCTTTCCCCACGGTATAGTGAAAACTTGCAGTAGTGTCCTTTAAAGCTGAAGCTTCTTAAAAAAAAGTTGCCTTCATAAGCCACAACACCAAAGTAGCTAATGAAAAGTTTTCCCCAATTTGAATAATTTATTTTATCGCAAAATTTACAACAGCAAAATAAAGCAGAGTGGTAGTACGGTCTTTTCTGCTCAGCCGAAATGGAGGTTAGCAATGTTTTCAGATATGCTATTAAAATGCACTGGTATTCCAGACAAGTCTGTTAAAAGCTTTCCTATAACAGCTTGGAATGACCTTTCATACTGAAATCAGCAGGGCAAACTAATGGGACACAGAGGTGCAAACAAACAAGTCATCTGTTTTATACGCTTGTTTGTCTCCTCCTTTGCATCCTGTTGGTTTGTGTTCCCAATATTTCAGTACGAATCTATATTAACTATACCGCCTCTCAACCCTTCTAGAGTGATCTTAATTGAAATGCAGATGCATTCATTCTTTATCAGAGACCTTGGAATCAGATATCTAGGAGGTGGTGCTATCCTTTTGATTTTCGCTAAACAGAAACTACTACACAACTTCTGAGCTTCAGTTTTGCAATTGTACCGTGTCCCTAATATGAAAGATAACGAGGCTGTATTTGGTTTGCTATCTGCAGAGTGATTTGCAGTGTTAAAAATCTCTCGTAAAAGAGCACCACCTTTTCTTGGCGAGTTCTAAAAATCTGTTTGAATTAGAAGAGAACTGCCTAGTTTCCTGTGTATGTTTTGCATTCACCAGTGTTGTATGCAGCATCTCTCTCGTCTCTGCTCATCAGGTCAGGCATCTTTGGCTTTCAAGAAGGAAAGATAAAATTTGGACTGACCCACAAATTCGAAGTTGGCTCAAGTCAGTTTGATGGTGTGAAGCATAGAGTGCCATCGTACACGGTAATAGCCTCTGTTTGCACTTTTCAACTCATTGCATTGGTATTGTCAGGCTCATTTTTCACTTGAAACCTATTTTCATTTAGGATCGAATACTTTATAGAAGCAAAAGAAAAGGCCATATAGAGTGTATTCTCTATGACTCAATTCTAATAATGCAAACCTCTGATCATCAACCATCGTATGGGCTGCATAAAGTGGGGATTCGACCTGGAAGAGACAAGTAAGGATTGGTTTTAATTAATATTCTATACAATTACACTGTCTTGGTTGACTACCAGTGTCAGAGTTCTCTTGAAAAGAATTTTGCAACTGGGTGTTGCATGTGGTTTCTTATCTGTCAAAGACATGGATAGTAAGGGTGCTATAATTGTCAGTTTATTACTTTTACTAGAAATATATGAGTTCATGTGCCACATCTCATGAAAATATTTCTTTACTTGAAATATCTATACTACTCAATAACTGAATTGTATTTGTTCAGTTTGTGTGCAATGTTTGCTCGATTCAGCCTTTTTATATGAGGGAACCCATTTAGACTGTTGAACTATTATTGTAATATATAAATATTACACCAATTCTTGTATTTGCTATTGATCTACAAGGTCTTTTGAAAGTAGAAAACAAAAATCAACAGACTTCAGTGATTTTTGTGATCCTGAGTTTAATGCAACTCATAACCTCATCGGCAGTTATTGGAGGTTGTGTGGATTTGAATCCTGACTACAGTGACATCAGTTGAGTAGAGATAAATGCTAAAATATTAGTGTACAATGTTTTCAGTGCATCTGAAAGAACTGCCATAATAAAAATAATCCGGAACACTACACAATGGTGTTCACCTTTGCCTTATGTACAGTTTTTGGACATTGAAACCCACAATTAAACTTTTTATAATGTTTGGCCAACACTTCAGATTTTAAATACAAATAGAATGGTGTCGGTCCATTTGATTCATCTTCTGCTCAAGAATCCAGAAGTTGAAGTTCCGATGTGTCTCTTTTGAATTGTCTATAAGGAATAACATCATTGGAGAATGGCAGATGTAATAATATTCCATAATATAGTTGTGCTGAATAGGAGCAGTTGTTATGCCGGACCAACAGTTCAGAAGCAGGTGCATTGGGCATGTAGCTTTCACTCCATTGTTGCATTTAGATATTTTGGCTGTTTAGCAATTTAATGCAATTGATTATTTGATCAGTTAATTATGTTGCATCTCTTAAAAACTGTCGCACTTAATTCTTTCTTTCAGTAAACACAACATTGTACGTACTATAAGTATGAACTACACCACGTGAGCGCATGGCTGAGCGTACTGCAATGTTGTACAGTGGCGCCGATCATAGTATATTTTCAAGTTATTGGGAGAGAGTCTGGCTATTCTTGCGGGTGTGCATCGCCCCCACTAACTTGCTGTCACCCTCCAAGGCATCATTTTCGAAGCTTATATAACCACAGCGCAAAACTAGCACGAGCATGAAAGGAAGTTAGGGCGAAGTGCACTCACAGGTACGGCCGAGTCCTCTCTTGATAACAAAAAAAAATGTCATGATTGGTGCAACTATACAACCTTACATTGCCATTGACCATATGCTCCCGCGGTGTAGCTCATACTGCCCCGCCGCGGTGGTCTAGTGGCTAAGGTACTCGTCTGCTGACCCGCAGGTCGCGGGATCGAATCCCGGCTGCGGCGGCTGCATTTCCGATGGAGGCGGAAATGTTGTAGGCCCGTTTGCTCAGATTTGAGTGCACGTTAAAGAACCCCAGGTGGTCGAAATTTCCGGAGCCCTCCACTACGGCGTCTCTCATAACCATATGGTGGTTTTGGGACGTTAAACCCCACAAATCAATCAATCAATCAATAAATGGGTGTAGCTCATACTGAGCACGATAGTACAACTGGACATGTGGTAGCATATTTCATTGAGGTGGTAGGCCACCCACCCCCCCCCCCCCCAAAAAAAAAAAACTTTTTTTAACCGGAGGAGCCAGGAATAAAATAACTGCTTTTTTGGAACAAGCGTGCCTCAGTTATCTTCCCTAGTCATTTAGAGTGCAAAATATTGATTATTTGTTTTTTAGGAGGCCATTTTTGTCAAATATTAAATGAAAAGTGATAGTTACATCAGCCATGATAAGTGACTAACGGGTGCCTGAATTCAGTAAAGCTTTGGCATTTATGTAATCAATGGTTGGAGCTATGCAGTGAACTAGGATAAATAATATACAGTAAATATCAAGGAAATTATGTTAAAAACTCCAAAAGACTCAGAAAAAGTGCCAATTTATACTGAACTTGTTTGCAAAATTAGCTGTGAATTCAAAACTAATCAATTAATTTCTTTTATCCTAGTTCGCTACACAGATATATAAGTGGTGAAACATTGTACTAAATTTTCGTTCGAAGTATACACTGAGAAAAAAGTTATGAAAGTTGGCATTGCATGATTTGCAGCAAATTCTTATTTTGAGGAAAAGGTAAACAAAGATTTTAGAGCGGGCTCAAGGTGTCAGAAATTTCGCACAAAGTCCTAAAATGCCCCTGATTCCTAGGTGGGTCCTTCTTGAATAGCATCATGGTCTCCTTTTCCTCGTGTGATTGCTCTTCTTTTCTTTCTGGCCTGTTTCGTCCCATCAGCTGACTTGCGTTTGGCATTCTGCATGCGCTTGTGATCTCTGGCAACACAAACTTTCGTCGTGTAGTACCCTAGTTCTATGCCAGCTTGGCTCAGGATGTCTAGAGTGCTTACACTGCCATTATTGAAGTTTGCCACAGCATCATGCAAGACAAACATTACTGTAGGCAAGCTTACGTAGACCTTTTTGGGAGCCCACTGCTATATCTGACCATTAAAACTCATTTGCATTATGTGTCTTTCCATGCAAAGATTTCATCAGAAGTTCATCTGAACGCAAATAGCTGTACACAATTTTAACTTTGTTAGCACGTCATTCGAAAGTCGTCCTTTGTGCACATACTCTCCTTGGCCGAGTGCTTCAACCCTTCTGTACCCACACCAGCTGTTCGGTCCAAGTGGGCACAGACCATGTCTCGGATGCTTGTCGGTAGAGCTGCAATGAAAAAGACTGGCAAGGGTAGCCTGATTCATTGCAGAAAAGTTGCCCGCACTAGTCGTTATGGCAATGCCTTAGTAGTTTTGAAGGCGGTCAATGAGGACATCATTGACCTTTCCCTTACTTCCGAGACCACGCACTGCTTTCTTGAGTTCTCCGAGGCGGCAGCCAAAACTTTTCTGGACATGCCCAACGCATTCCAGTTTCTAGACACTGTCTTTTCTATACATGTCTTCCACAGAGGCATAGCTCTTGGAAACACCATCACCGTAGAATTTCAGGTAATTCAAGCCTCTTTTTGGCTGTGACCTCTCAAATATTCGGTACAGACCAACCGTCTCCTTACTGCCAGCACTTCCTTCATGGTTTGCTTGACAGGAAGTGTGGTCTGCCTTTCATTCCTGATAAAAAGCACTTTGTGGCCTCAACTTTTGTTTAGTTTTACAAGATTTACACGATCTGAAAAGGGCCTCAACATCTATGACTTTTCTTGTGTCAATAAAAATCACAGACTCACATGCATTCAAAGATGAATGACCACGCTTCTGCCATGTGCTGTCACCTGAAACACCACACTCGGCACTTCCCACAATACGACTAAGTTCCACAGCAGCATCGGCCCTACATTTCGACGCCACTTTTCCTGCAGCTGCAGTAAGTCGAGACAATAATTTGTCGTAGGCGGAGTGACATGGAGCAGGCATGTTCATGACTTTGGCAAAGAATTCCACACCTGCATGCCCTTTCCTAACTGGCGCCTCGCGTAAACGAGATGAACATTATTTTCGTTACGTGTCCCGCCTTTCTAGACGTATCAAATGGACGCTCAAACCTATAGTCAGTACACACGACTGCACAGGTTGAGCATATCCCTAGGTGAGAGCGTTCCTCGAGCTTCAGCGTTGGGTTCATGCATCCAGGGCATGTCACTAGTGATAAAAACACCGAGGAAAGAATGTCAATGTCCAAAAGCCTGTTCTTTTGGAGCGAAGAATTTTGCGGCGGAGCCTCGTACGTTTTTGTAATGCCCGAAAGCTTTCTTGCGTTCGCCGAAACACCCGCATCCATGTCGGGAGGCAGCTTCGTCAGGGTGTAGCGATTTCCACCAAACTTCCGCTTCCTTGTCTTCTGAGTTCTGCGCTTAGCCATGCTGGTCTGAATATATATTCACATCCAGGTGGCCGAAGAACACACACGTTGCAGCGTTGACACGAGGAAGAAATGTAGAACGATGCCTGACGTATGCCGACCAAGGTAAACAACAAACATTCCATGAGCACTTTACATCCTCCATGTGGCTGTTTTTAAAGATTTGAAAACAATTAGAAGCACAAAGTTATATATAATGACATCCTCTTATGTAACAGTCCAAATAAAAGTCATGAAGTATTTTGAATATTATTATTATACAGTAGATTCTCAGTAAACGGAACGTAATGGGACCATGACAATATGTTTCATTTAACAGGAGTTCCTTTTACTGAGAGGTGAACATAACTGCAGAATACAAGCCCAAAACCAAGCGTTGCAGAGGCACTGGTTCCATTTAAGCAGTACTTTCATTTAACAGATTTCCGTTTACTGAGAGTCTACTGTAAACGAAAAACACTTTCGTAACGAACACATTGTGGTTTCGGTATATGAGCATGGTGTATAAAAATCTAATTGTGACTCGCAAACTAATGATGATAGGAAGATAATTTTTGTTGCTACACGTTTTTGAATGTCCGGGCGTGCAAAAAAACCAAAAACAAAAAAAATCGATCTCGCAAAAAAAAAAATTGACTTTTGACGTAAGCCTACCACCTTAATGTAATTGTGATGTTGCCAAATAATTTCAAGTAATCATTAATCATTTACAAGTTCCTTAGCTACTACTTGGTTCAACAGACCTGTTTGTTTGCCCACTTGGTTCTTGCTGAGGTACATATCTTGCCACAAAATTAAGACACACAGGAAAAGAAGACCCAGAAGGGGCCATTGTGTGTGTGTCTTAATCTTGAGGATAATATGTCATTTAGTAGTTATGTGAGCATATAATGTAAATATATTATACATACTTACGTTAATGCATATAAGCTTGATTTCTCATATCAAATAGGCTTTGCTCAAGCATTGTACTTGCTTGCAAAACATGAAAATATT